TTTCATCGAGTCAGAATGAACCCAATTTCTCCAATGTAACCCCCAGAACCATGAACATGACCACGAGACTGGTAAAAAGTCGATTGACTTTTCGGATGTAAACATGATCCCGAGTCCTCCACTGAATATATCGTGGCTGTCCATGATGGGAATAAAGTCATGCACCTTTACAATACTATGGCCGAGTATACACCGATTGTTAAGAGCATCATGGCACAACGGCACTTGTAAACGGGAGTTTTACATATCATCCGAGATGCGGAACTAAATACGAAGATTATTAGTGAGAGCAATTGAACTGTCGTGTGGCTGATAACGTTAGAACCCAGATAAAATACATTTCGTCCCGTCATGATGGCCTGAACGGTAACGACTCCGGGCCGAAGCCACTGTAACATCAGCGTCACCAGGCCACTGCACTGGGTCGATAAACGGGTTCATGTCAAAAACAATCCATCGTGGAGGGAAAAAAGACTCATAACCTTGAAATTTGACAGCTACAGGGGAGAAACCAAGGTTAATGTGTGATCAGCACCTGTTTCTAGGTATACAGCTCGTATGTATGAGTTTGTTTGATTCCGATCTCCATCAGCCAACGTTAATTTCTCCGCATGAACGAAGCGTGCGAGTCCACAACAGGGCCGATTTCAATTGCGGAGAAGAAGCTGTCTCCCCCAGCTTTTCCCTCAACCCCGGCAATTGAGATGAAAAGACTAACTTGATCGATAAACTGAGTGTGAATTCGCTGGGAGAACTTCGGATCCTCGGTCAGATAGCGGCCGTATTATTCATCCTGTGGAGTGGGAAACCTGGGGCATGACACCATCACCAACAGTCGGGAATATCGTCCATTGGACGCAGCGGCTAAGCTGCGGTAGATCTAGGGATGTGAGAGTTGGCCGATGGAGATTAAACTGGGAATGGCATCACAAGACGGACATCTCATCATTGAGAGAACGACAATGTTACTCCGCATCGTCCATGTGAGCTAGTGAGTCGTTTTTTTCTTCCTTTGTGCGGGGGAGGAGAGTAATTGAAGCCGACGCTAACACTTACAGAATTTTTGTAATGACGCAGACACGCAAGTTTTGAAGGAGGAGCAAGAGGTTGGACTGGTGATCGCCGAGGGGGAGGGAAAGTGTAGCCGGTGCTGGGGATATATAAGTTGTAGTCATAGCCTGAAAAAGAGAAAAGAGATCATCATCACTGAGCGCCAATTCATCTTCTACTCTGCTCACAATGGCTAGCATTCGATCTGTGTTGGTCTCGGGTCTTTTGGCCGCGGGTGTTAATGCCCAAGCCTACGATGCGAGTGATCGCGCTGAAGATGCTTTTAGCTGGGTTCAGCCTAAGAACACCACTATTCTTGGACAGTACGGCCATTCGCCTCATTACCCTGCCAGTATGTTTCACCAACTACACCAAGTGACACTGAAGTTATACTGACGATTGACTATAGACAATGCTACTGGCAAGGGCTGGGAAGATGCCTTCGCCAAGGCTCAAGACTTTGTCTCCCAACTAACCCTCGAGGAAAAGGCCGACATGGTCACTGGAACTCCAGGTCCTTGCGTCGGCAACATCGTCGCCATTCCCCGCCTCAACTTCAACGGTCTATGTCTGCACGACGGCCCCCTCGCCATCCGTGTAGCAGACTACGCCAGTGTTTTCCCCGCTGGTGTATCAGCCGCTTCATCATGGGACAAGGACCTCCTCTACCAGCGCGGTCTCGCGATGGGTCAAGAGTTCAAGGCCAAGGGCGCTCACATCCTCCTCGGTCCTGTCGCCGGTCCTCTTGGACGCTCGGCGTACTCTGGTCGTAACTGGGAGGGTTTCTCGCCGGATCCTTACCTCACTGGTATCGCGATGGAGGAGACTATCATGGGACATCAAGATGCTGGTGTTCAGGCTACTGCGAAGCACTTTATCGGCAATGAACAGGAGGTCATGCGAAACCCTACTTTTGTCAAGGATGGGTATATTGGTGAGGTTGACAAGGAGGCTCTTTCGTCTAACATGGATGATCGAACCATGCATGAGCTTTATCTCTGGCCTTTTGCCAATGCTGTTCACGCCAAGGCTTCTAGCATGATGTGCTCATACCAGCGCTTCAACGGCTCCTACGGCTGCCAGAACTCAAAGGTCCTCAACGGCATCCTTCGAGATGAGCTCGGTTTCCAGGGCTACGTCATGTCCGATTGGGGTGCTACCCACTCTGGTGTTGCTGCCATCAACAGCGGTCTCGACATGGACATGCCCGGTGGTATCGGTGCTTACGGAACATATTTCACCAAGTCTTTCTTCGGCGGCAACCTAACCCGCGCCGTCACCAACGGCACCCTCGACGAGACCCGCGTCAACGACATGATCACCCGCATCATGACTCCCTACTTCTGGCTCGGCCAGGACAAGGACTATCCCTCCGTCGACCCCTCCAGCGGCGATCTCAACACCTTCAGCCCCAAGAGCACCTGGTTCCGCGAGTTCAACCTCACCGGCGAGCGAAGCCGTGACGTCCGCGGTAACCACGGTGACTTGATCCGCAAGCACGGCGCCGAGTCTACCGTCCTTCTCAAGAACGAGAAGAACGCCCTTCCCCTCAAGAAGCCCAAGTCCATCGCTGTCTTTGGAAACGATGCTGGCGATATCACTGAGGGCTTCTACAACCAGAAAGACTACGAATTCGGCACTCTTGTCGCTGGTGGTGGTTCTGGAACTGGTCGTTTGACATACCTTGTTTCGCCTCTTGCTGCCATCAATGCTCGTGCTAAGCAGGACGGTACTCTTGTTCAGCAGTGGATGAACAACACTCTTATTGCGACCACCAACGTCACTGACCTCTGGATCCCTGCTACTCCTGATGTCTGCCTCGTCTTCTTGAAGACTTGGGCTGAGGAGGCTGCTGATCGTGAGCACCTCTCCGTTGACTGGGACGGTAACGATGTTGTCGAGTCTGTTGCCAAGTACTGCAACAACACTGTCGTCGTCACTCACTCTTCTGGTATCAACACTCTTCCTTGGGCTGACCACCCCAACGTCACCGCTATTCTCGCTGCCCATTTCCCCGGTCAGGAGTCTGGTAACTCCCTCGTTGATCTCCTCTACGGCGATGTCAACCCCTCTGGTCGTCTTCCCTACACCATCGCCTTCAACGGCACCGACTACAATGCTCCCCCCACCACTGCCGTCAACACCACCGGCAAGGAGGACTGGCAGTCTTGGTTCGATGAGAAGCTCGAGATTGACTACCGCTACTTCGACGCGCACAACATCTCCGTCCGCTACGAATTCGGCTTCGGTCTCTCCTACTCCACCTTCGAAATCTCCGACATCTCCGCTGAGCCTCTCGCCTCCGACATCACATCCCAGCCCGAGGATCTCCCCGTGCAGCCCGGCGGCAACCCCGCCCTCTGGGAGACCGTCTACAACGTGACCGTCTCCGTCTCCAACACGGGCAAGGTCGCCGGCGCCACTGTTCCCCAGCTCTACGTGACATTCCCCGACAGCGCTCCTGCGGGTACACCACCCAAGCAGCTCCGTGGCTTTGACAAGGTCTTCCTTGAGGCTGGCGAGAGCAAGAGTGTCAGCTTTGAGCTGATGCGCCGTGATCTTAGCTACTGGGATATCATTTCTCAGAAGTGGCTCATCCCTGAGGGAGAGTTTACTATTCGTGTTGGATTCAGCAGTCGGGACTTGAAGGAGGAGACAAAGGTTACTGTTGTTGAGACGTAAACAGGTTTATGATGTATGAGATATGCCCTAATTACCTAGATAGTAATTCACGTTAATGTTAGTTCACAGTGTTGATGAGTGATGGGTAATGGTATCTTATGCAGTGCTAATAACCTGCTCCTGGGGTCTGCAGTGTTTGACAGTGATGCCGGTTGACAGTGACCAATTTAGATGAGCTGAGCATCAAAGTACAGATGCCTTCCTGACAACAGTAGAGAAGATCTCTGTTCCCTTTTCCCCTCAACAACGCAAGACCTTCATCTCCAGACCCTACAACCATACACGAAGAGTTCTCGGGGCTCTCGTCTCGTAAGTCATTGCACCTAGTCCAACAGGAACATACTAACCTCACTACCTCAGCATCACCATGTCCCACAATCCCCAAGACATGCAGTCAATCACCGATGCCATCTTTGCTCATGGTCGCCGCCCATGGAACTCCTCATGCCCAGTCCCCATGCCCCGTGAGCCCGTCTACAAATTCTCAGAGTCTGCTCTCCAAGTCGGTCACTTCAAAGACGACATCCCCAGCGATGATGCCCCATCAGCCAACCGCAAGAAAGGCGCGAAGGCCTATCTCATGGTGAAGCGCGACGGCGACAAGACCGGTTTCCTGTGGTGTGATGCGGATGGCGAGGCCGTGGACAAGAACTGCATCGCGATGACTGAGGGCCTGGACGTCAAGAAATTGAAGAAGGATTTGGTAGAGCTGTACAACGCTCAGGAGGAGAGGCTCGTAAAAGACTACAACTGTGCCATCCTGGTTATGGTGGCTCGGCGTATGATTGTCAAGTTTGCGGAGAGGGGAACGGCTGAGCCGCCTGTCATTGATGATGAAGACAAGCTTGAACGGTTCAGTCATCTCAACAAGAAGGCTGTGCTTTGCAGTGAGACGGATCCTGAGCTGAACTGAGGTCTGATGGTGGGGTAATCAGGGTACGAGAATAACGGATGATGGCGATCAGGACGATGTGGCACTTGATCATCTTTACAGGAAGAGTAGCAGCTACTCATATACCTTCAGCGTTACTTTTTGCCCCTAGGGGTTAAAGCCTCTTCAATGCTCCTCAAGTTATCACAGAATAACTGGTGGGATGAAAGTGATTCTTAGTACTATTTCCAACGCTGCAAACTAACCGCTGAAATGCCACATCGTGCTTGTTATAAAAAATATGGCCTTGAAAGTCACTACCATGATAACGGAGGTCCTGATACACCGCCATCGTCCATTATTCTGGTTCTGGTCCCATCAATTATCGCAACAGACCTCAGTTCAGCTCTACATCAGCCTCACTGCAAAACCATATATCCCTCCCGTCCCATCCTTGATCGGCAGGAAGCTTGTAAGGTTCTCCCTTTAGAGCGCATGCTCTGAGAGCCAATCGGTCCTTCATAACCTTGAGTTCTTCGTTGTAGGTCGTGACAATCGATACCTCCTGGTTGTTGTACATCATCATCAGGTCCCGCTTCAGATCTTGAATGACAAGGCCTTCGGCCATCTGGATGTACCATTTATTAACGGGTTTGCCATCAGCGTCGCACCAGAGAAAGAATGTCATGGGTTTGTCGCTGCCGATGCGCTTTACCATGAGGTATGCTTTCGCGTTCCTCTTGCGGTTGGGAGATATGGTTGGAGGGTAGCCGGGGAGATCTTCTGTGAAGTGGCCGACCTGAAGAGCGGACTCGGAGAACTTATAGATGGGTTCTTCTGGAATGGGAATGGGCAGGCCAGGGTGCCAGCCATCTCTGAAGACGGCCTCGAGGCGTTGGTCTTTCTCCTATTCCTCAAACATATTCAAGGCCACCTCACCTATGCTGTTGTCAGACATGGCGATAGTGGTGATATCGGTATCTTGCTTTCGATCGGTGATTCAAAATATGAGATGAAGAAGAGAGAATGGTCTTCCCTGGCGTTGTCAGGGACACATCTGTGTTTTGATGCTCAGTTCTAGGAAGTCACCACTAGCTGAGGAAGGGGGGGAAAGAAGGCTCAGGGCATTGATCCTAAGTGATAAAGACTTACGTATTGTCGCCTATCTTAATCTTAGGATAACATTCCTTGGTTTATTTGCCGTGGAGGTAGGTGCCTATCTTGCCTTTTGTCAGTTGAGGCTGACAGTCGCCGACAAGACAACTCTTTGTCCATTATGCGATGAGTGATGAGTGAACAACAACAACAGACAGCAACTTACGTGTGATGTCCTTTGTTCAACTACTGAACAAAAGAACAGTGTATATTCACTGAACTCAATGTCAACACCCGATAAGTGAGCATGAGATGACTTGGACACCTCTGACATTAACTTCATAGCATCCAGTCCCCGAAAAACTATATAAGCCAGCCTCTCCCCCATGCAACAGTCCAGATACTCTTCATTTCATTCCAACAATTACTAACATCTCAAACCAACATCAATATCCCCATCTCAGCCTCAGATAACCCCAAACCCGGACAACAACTAACACTAGATCAAACATGTGTATCAACTGGATCACTACAACATCGTGCCGAAAGTGCGGCCACTGTGTCAATGTCGAGTTCGGCGACGACTTCTGCAAGGACTCCAAGAAGGGGAAGGAATGTCGACGACAAGTGAAGCACAAGCAGAAGGGGGCTGATCCTTCGAAATGCTCGGAGTGCAAGGCGAGACGAATGTCACTGTAATCTTCTATAAGGTATTTATCAGTAACTTGGAAGAGCTAGTCCTTGGGTAGTGGTAAGAAAAAAGGAGAAAGGCCAGAGGAGGGATGGCTAAACATCATGATTCCAGGTGACTTTTGAGGAGAAGGGATGAAGCTATCACCAACTTTTGGATGATTGACTAGCTTGGCTCATTATTCAGTCTAGGACAGCAGTTCTACAATAAAAATGCCTTCCTAGGCATAACTGATACAGATAAAAACAAGTACGTCCATTTTAAGTATTCAGGATGCCAATTCTTATACGCTTTTGTGAAGTTCTCTTGCGATATAAAAACGATGTAGGGTACCTTGGTTGAGGTATGGATCAAGTCGCGTACATCGTGTTGTGGCTCGATCCGTGGCGTAGGGCTGATCAGATAACCACTGGCGAGTTCGCTAAATGCCACATGGACGCGATTGACGATATTTGTCATGGAATAATATGTGTCGTAGGTATGACTGCGTTTATGACTAGAGCGGGCGTCTTACGATCCATGCAGCAGACGTATATATTGGCCGAGAGTTTACTGGCGACATTAATTGACGCCTTAGAATCTTGAACGGACCATTGAAGTTGATCACGGACTCAAAGTAAAAAACGAACTCGAAACATGACAGCATTAATCCAATATCAAAGCGCGATGCATCAGACTCATACACGCTCCAAGCCCATCATGAAACCAAGTCCAAGACGTGCATTCACTAAACCCTAGAAAGATTCTTCAAAGGTGGATATTCAGCATAACTACCGAACACAAAAAGCAAGGCACATAATCCCAGCCAGACTCTTTTATGCTTTTTATTAAAAGGGATTGGTCTACAAGTCTCCAAACGCGAGACCACTCTCGATGGATTCAGTGGTGGAGACGTGTTGAAGAAATTGGAGGTTGAAACAGGAGGTTGGCTTTACCAACAGTCCCCGTTAAATCCTCAACGGCATTTTTCACAATTAAATTCACAACGTGCTTTTAAAGCAAGGGAGATATTGAGTTAAAGACAGCAATAAGGGGATATACGAAAAAAGAAAGGGAGACTGGTTACACATGAGACATCAAGCATGTCAAGCAAGGATCTAAAACGCAGCCACTATAACTCAGCGCGTCCCAGCGAGCATCATCCTTATCGATACCGCCAACACGGGTCCACTCCACTGCCCACATCACCACTCAACGCGCCCCCGTCCAGAACCGCGTTAAGCACCTAATTCCCATTAAACTCCCTAAATTACAGCGCTCTCACCCACTGTGAAAACGCCAACGCCAAAAAACCACGACTACTTGCTCGCGAGGCGCCCGCGTCCCGCGTAAAGCGGAGCATGCCTCTTTAAATACCTCCCGCTACCCAACACGAGAGCCTTTTTCACAATCTCACCACCACTGCACTGTTACTTCCTACCATACAAGAAGAAAGGTTTCACGCTTGGTCGAGTTCTTTGGGACCGTATCTCATTCATTCTTTTTATTTGACACCTATGATTTAAATAAGGAAGTATTCTACTTGAAGAGAGAGAGATACTAGACCGCCTTTCGTGTCGTCATCGTTCTCTGATACCACGACGCCTGTTGGCGAGACATTGAAAAGGATAAGGGAGAAAATTGGTGGAAACGAAAGATTCGATCTTGATTTTCGAATTCTGAGCGAGTTTGACGTTTGTACTTTACGCGTGTTACCTTGACTCGCATCTTTCGTCTCTGGACGCGATCCAGTTCGACCTCGATCCTCGATCTACAACACCTCGAACCGAATACACCTCTACAACTCCTACAAGAAACAAAAAAACGCAAAAATGGATTCTCTAGGCTCTTCACCTCGAAAAGGCTCCTCCGCCGAACCAACTCTTCCAACAATGAAGCCCTACTCCCTCGCCGGCTCCAAGCGCTCTGCACCGAGTCTCCTCCCGCCCTTTGAGCCGCTCTCGTCATCTCCAAACCTCCCTCGACCCGTGAAGCGACAAAATCTCGGCTCTGGGCGCTCCTCGTCGCGAGCTCACCTCAAATACCCTACTCCCGTTCCCACGTCGAGCACAGGTATCCTCTCGAGTTCCCCGCCTCAACGGTCCGCTACCGCTTCCGAGCGTGCCCCGCTCGCTGCCGTCCCCGCTGTCGAACTCTCGGAAAACGGCGAGACCCTCATCATGGGCCGATCGTCCAACTCGTCACACTACCAGATCTCTGCTGACCGCCTCGTCTCCCGCGTCCACGTAAAGGCTCGCTTCGTCGCTGCCGCGAGCCCCCTCGAGCCCAGCAAGATCGAAATCGTCTGCAATGGCTGGAATGGTCTCAAGTTGCATAGCCAGGGTCGTACTTGGGAGCTGTACAAGGGCGATAGCTTCACCAGTGAAACAGAGGGCTCCGAGATCATAATTGACGTGCAAAACTCGCGTGTCCTCGTCCAATGGCCCAAGCGGGCTCTTGACCATCTCTCCGACACCACCTGGGACTCTCCTCCCTGCCAGGCTCGCGCCCAGGCCATTCTCCAGTCTTCCCCTCCTCGTCGCGCTTCTCGTATTGCTTCTCCCGAGAGCCCCACGCCTGCTAGTCTCTCTAGCTCCCGCCGCCTCCAGGCTCTGCTCCCCGGACAGCGTGACATTGAAATCTACGAGGACGACGCTGAGCTCGAGCTGCCTGAGCACAAGCATGATCCCACTAACATCAATGTCAGCATGTGCACCGATGTGACTGCCAGCTTCAGCAGTGAGGTCAGTGATGGTGAAGACCACAACCCCGATGAGGAGAATGATCCTATCGTGCACTCTTTCGGGCCTTTCGGCGCCGACATTTCCTGCCGGTTGGCTTCGATAACGACAAAGTCTCCCAAGGTGTTCAAGGGTGTCAAGCGTGCCAACCCTCTCCACAGCGCCATTGCCTCCGATCTGTTCGCTCCTCGTCAGATTCCTGCTCCTCCTCAGTCTCCTCGCAAGCAGCAGGCCAGAACCGAGTCTCCACTCTCGTCTCCTCCTCGAATGTCTTCTCCGACTCCGGAGATCTTCAGGATGTCCTTTGAGTCCCACCCTGCTGTTGGTAACCATGTCATCAATCAGCTCGCTTTCTCGCGTCTGTCCTCGACTCCTCTGTCCACCATCATGGCCCACCTGCCCTCCGAGGAGAAGCAAGATCTTTCCAAGGACGATCTCCGTGATGTTATTGAGAGTACACCCTGCATTGGTATCATCAAGCGCCAGGGCAAGGACGCAGCTGGCAAGCCCCTTGAGAGCGAGTATTATTATGTCCCCGAGGAAGACGACGACCAGCAGCGTCGCGCCGCAGTCGTTGATGGCCTTCGCAAGCCCAGTCTCCGCGCTTGTCGCAAGCAACACAAGGTTTGTACATTCTTGACTTGGCAATGTGCACTCAACTTACACTGTATAATAGCAATACTACTGGAAGCGTCCCAAGACTCCCTGATCCACCCGCCTTTTCACGTACATACGATTCTTCACTCCGAGAGATGACTACACGATTCTCAAAGTTTCCTGTTTAACGGTGGATGTCTGTGTTTTTGCTGTATACCCCTTTTTATCATTTCAATGTTTTATCTTCACATTTCTCCGCGGCTCTCATGTTTCGCAAACTGCATAGCATCGGCGTCTTAGTTTTACTTTTATTTCTGCATGATGGAGTTGGAAGGGTTTTACCAAAAAAGGGATCGAGATATATGCCTTGTTGAGCATATAGAAAGGAAGGGAAAGGGCTTGGGGTAGCGTATTCTTGTACCTGTTTTTTTAATGTGTGTATGGTATGTTGTATGAGAGCAAAGCAAATGGATTATCACCAATTAACCACGACGATTGGTTTGCTTATGTGAGAAAGTCATCCAGTTGGTGGATGATCTGATGAGCATCACGAGGTCAATTGAGAGTCTGGACTCTTACGTGCATGATTCCACCAACGAACGAGCCCTGTAGGCCTTTAACCCGGGGCACATCACTCACATTGGGGTAGACTACCCCGGAGAATGCCACATGCATTCGATGTAACTCCAAACCTCAGTTTCTGTGTTTACCCGGGCAGATCAACCTGTAGAAACAATGCCGAATAGAGACAGTTGCATATTCACTGCAACAACCCAAGATTACTTACAAATCACAGGTGTCTATCTGCAAAGCACTGCTCATCACCGCATCAATTACCTATCACCGCATGAATTATCATCATCACAGCATTTATATCCACCATCACACGACACCCACCCCAAAACCCGAGGTCCGATCTCGTTCGTCGGAGCCAAACAAACTCTAAAATACCGAGATAATCACGCCTCAGCCGTCACTTTACATGCTATCAGGCCATTCAAATTCGCCACATCCTCCAATCATCACCAATTGAATGCTAGTAAATCACGCTTGCAAGGGTTGAGCTGAAGAGGGGGTTTCTCTTATGATATAATTATGCTTCCGGGAAGAAAACGAACAAACGTGTATAAATATGACAACGAGGTCCTGGTCAAGGGAAGCTGCAAGTAAGAAAGTTAAACTTGACTACCTATTAATTGAACTTATTGTTATTGAGGGTAAGTGCACTGAAGGGTTGGGTTGGGATATAAGACATAACATACTGACTGAAGCTACAGCAACTCACATACCAACAAACCTCTATATCAACACTCACAACCTCATCTCCATCACAACAACAAACCTACAACCCAATTCTTCAATATAACATTATTCACAATGGATCGCCAACCAACAGCCATCTCAACATCCCACACAGCCCCTCCCTCAGAAGGTACACAGCACACCTACACACTTCCAATTCTGCACAAGCTGACTTCGTCATCTGCAGCTCCGACTTCTCCATCCGCCCAAGCCGGTGCCGACCGATGCATGCGCCACACGAATAGCTGGACGCCCTCTATCCAGCGACGACAGAGCTGGAGTCCTGAGGAGCAGAAGCATGAGATGCACATGGACAAGATTGGTCAGGTCGCTACGGGTCCTGGATTTACAGAGCGAGAGGGCTCTTAGATCATTGGTCACGGACAGAACAAGGAAACGGCAAATTGTAATTGTACGGAACACTTAAGAGAATGGGCATGGTAAACGCAAGGATGCAAAAAGGTTACGGGCATTGTACACTACAAATTGGCTACCAAAAGGAAAAGCCCAAGAATGAACGCAATCGTTATAACTCATAATAAACGAATGTCATTGTAATCATGGCTATCGAACGATGCAAATTGATGTGCCGAGGTATCTTGACTCCGTAGCTCCGTGTTCTCATGCTCCGCTGAACGCGTCCCACATGTAAACTTCCAACAAAGAAAACAGGCTGTCATATCATGAACGCTCGGGATAGCTGAGACATCCTCAAGCTCAATCGCTGAAATCCCAATACCAAACTCCAAAGAAACTTCTCACCGTGTACCTTGGTGAACCTTTGCAGACCTCTCATCCTTCAACGTGAAAGGCAGTGTCATTCGAGCCAATTCCGAATCCCATACCCACTAGTTCTGCGACTTCCCATCAGAATTCCTCGTTCTGGGAGAATTCGCTAACAAGACCACCACGTAGACCGATCCTGCAACTAGACCAGTTCCCACCAGAATCTTGCGCCCAATGTTTCGCTTCTTAGTCGACTTCTTTGTCCGAGCTGCACACCGCTTAGATCTTTTGCAATGACTGTCAGTCCAAATCCTGTGAATGCTGTCAGAGGGAGGAGAGTTTCCACCCTGACTAACCATTTCATCGGCTGGCTGCTTTTTGCGAAAGATCAACATTTGCCCGCTTCCCGACACTACTTCATAGCCTTCCTCCTGAAGTGATTTGACATAAGGGAGAAAATTGGCAGGGTCAATTAGCTTAACGAGAGCATCAGGAATAGGCATTGGCTTATCACTGGCGCCGACAGCGGAATTGGTTTCGGCCACGCTCATCACCCTCGAAACTGGGTCAAAAGCGACAATTTTGTATGAAGCCATGTTGGGCATTTCTGGTGTCTTTGTCGTAGACTCTTTGGCTTCAGGTGTGTAGTGTTTCTCCATGATAGGCATCGTTGGGCGCCCACACTCTTCGGAATAACTTGTCTGCAGACCCTGAGGTTCGTGCGAATACGGATCCTTAATCCTCCTGGCCGCATAGCGATCCAGTGCCGTCTTTAATCTTGTGTTATCCATGGGAAAGCTCTCATCCATAGATCCGGGCTCAACATCTTCCATGGAGCTTAGGCTTTCTTTCACGGGTGGCGATGTTCCTGAAAACCCATTGGGAAGCAGTACCGACTTGGACGGTGAATTGTCCCTGCTCCAGGACCTGGCAAATTCCTCGGGAAAGTCTCGTGCGTAGTTTCCCGTAAGTCCTGAAGCATGTGCCGTCTTGACCTGTTGACCTTTGTTGCCAGACAGATCCTGGTTCTCGACTCGTTCACTATTTTCTCGAGCTCTGCGAAGGACCGCAGCTCGGATGACGTCGGCACTTTCAGGATCGGAAGCGTCCATATTAATTTCCGTAGAGCCGGGAGAAGACCTGTTCGGGGATCGAGTATAAGTATATAATGCTGAGTCCGGGGAATGTTGGGAACCTGCCTTGGAATCGAACTCTCGGAGGCCGCGGGCGACTTCATCCAGAGGGACCGACATCTTGCCGGTGGGTTCGTTGGGACGAACCCCTGTGTACTTGCGTAGGTCCTGGAAGACCTTGGATGCGTCCTCGGGCTGAACAGGATAGCCCTGAGCCTGGGATGCAAAGTCGGAGTGCCTGTAACTGCCAAGATCTGTGTAATTCTTGCTCAACACCTCAGGATGCACTGCCTGGATGATGTCGTCAAAGCCAGTTGATGGATACTTGTGTAGATCTCTGTACTGCTTTGATGCCACTTCCGGGTGAACACGCTCCGTCTGGAGGTCACCGTTCTCGAAAGACTTATACGCACCCAAATCGGTATACTTCTTCGAAGCAACTTCAGGGTTGATACGTGGTGCAGGGTCATCCGCGTTCTCGAATTTGCGGTAGGCGGGGAGATCCTCGTACACCTTGGAAGCCTCTTCGGGATGCACTCGCTCGGTACGCGGTGACAAGTCGCTAGCAGCGTACTGATGAACGTCACTGTAATGCTTTGACTTCTCCTCTGCCGTCAGGGGTCGCAAGCCACCAGGCTCGTTCCACTGAAAGACACCACCGTATAAATGAAGGTCGTCATAGTTTTTGGACAACTCCTCTTGGGTAGGCTCTCTGAGACCATCAGGCTCGTTCCAGTGGTAAGGACCGTACAGGTGAAGGTCATTATACTTGCTTGCAAAGTCCTCGACAGGAGCATCGACCTTTGGGGCTAAGGGCTTGCCTCGCATAGTGCGATCCATCTGCGCCTTCTCGTGGGCCTTCAAAGCCGCCTGGCTAGCTTCAAAAGGATCTGCGTATTTATCCAAATCTTTGTACTGCTTGGACTCCTCCTCAGGTGTCAGACGACGCAGGCCGTCCGGCTCATTCCATGCAACTGGTCCATACATATCAAGGTCTTTGTAGTCCTTGGAACGTTCCTCTGGCGTAAGCTCACGTAGGCCGTCGGGCTCGTTCCAATACACACCCTTGCTGTACATATTCAGATCGTCGTAGTTCTTGGACAGTTCCTCAGCAGTCTGTGGTCTTTTGCCGTCAGGCTCGTTGTGGTAAACGGGCTTGTACTGATCCAAATCATCATAGACTTTGGATTGCTCCTCAGCGGTCAATTGACGTTTGGCCAGAGGGTCGTCCAGGGTCGCAGAGGAGTACTTGTCAAGATCCTTGTACTGCTTGGAATCCTCTTCGGCTGTCGTAGGTCGCTTTCCATCAGGCTCATTGTACTTGACAGGGCCATATTTGTCCAAATCATCGTATTCGGTAGACTTCTCTTGAGGGCTCTCATCTATTACTGGTTCATACTTGCCAAGATCGTCGTACTTGGGTTGATCTGGTTGCTTCGTCTCAGTGTCGATGCTAGGCTTGTACTTGTCCAAGTCGTCATACTTGGGAGTCGAGTCAGCCTCAGCAGACACATCAACGAAGTCGGTCGGCTTAAGATCTCGCTGGGCATCGTACCGAGCTGCTGTTCCGCCCATTGTAGACTTTGACACACGACGGTTTGTTATGGGATCAATGAAGGTAGCATCTTGTCCATGAAGAGCAGAGGAGAGTGTGTCTTTCGAGGTTGCCGTACTTGTACTTGCGCGGCTGAAATGATGAGCATTGGTCAAAGTAGCCTTGCGAATATTGGCCTTGCTATCACCTCGAAACAAGTGCTCAATAGCACTTCGCTCCACGTCTTCGATGTTCGCTCCTGGCCGGATACCAAGCAAGTCATTGGCCCAGGCCGCTACTTGATCAATGGTAGTAAACTTTGAAGGATCGACAGATCGATTGAAGCCTTTTGCAGCCTTCTTGGAAGTGGATTTGGACTTGGTGTCCCAAGAAATGCTGCGACTCAACGCCGTAGGTCGCTGGAACCTGACCGAACCACGTCGACGTCCATTTCGGAACTCAGAAGAGGTTGAACACGACACGGCAGGGGAATAGTGTCTGTATTGCTCGCATTTCGATTGTAGCGAGACGGTAGAACGTAGAGTATTCGCTATGCCAGTGCGAGACTGAACAAGTCGTTCACTTGTCCAGATTCGTGTCGACGCTAGCATGGTGTAGTAGAGCTATGGATGACCTAAAAGAGCTGGTTATGTCAGTACTGTGTAAGTGAGTCAATCTTGGAACGCATGCTGGTTGCGAATGCCAGACATGTTGCAGATGCTCTAGACTTACGGGTACAAGATGATTGAGAGCGAGCACCCAGGCAACAATCCCGAGGCTGCTATTGGAACAGTTCGAAAGGCACTGTACGTGATATAGAGACCGAAGCTGTCGGTTCTGGAAGTGAGACAGTAGTGACTTAGACGATGAGCATGTATTGAACGCGAGCGTAAAATGCTGTAAATTGAATGTGAATAATGTGGAACTGGAGAATGAAGAGAAAGGATGACGAGCTACATGAGGGGAACCCAAGACCTTAAAACACACTGCCCGGACTGGATGGACGGAACGGAAACGACGAACGACGACACGCGATGGGGCCTTGTTTGGTCAGGGACGGCCTGCGGTTCAATAAAGAGCGCCCGGGGGATGGCACTAGATGAAGTGGAGACCCTGTAAAGTTGAGGGGAGTGGAGAGGACATGGCCTAAGAAAAAGAGGGGACATGGGGAGGAATAGCCAGTGTAAGACGAGATATGGAGTACAATTGGATTGATTAGAGCTAGAGGGGCTTGTTTGGTGACGCCGTGAAACTGTAGCACGACTGACAGTTGTGACTCGTGTTGAAAGCCTCTTGTGTCTTGTGTCTTGTTACTCCGTGCATTGTACTCAGATTCACTCAGAGACTCCAGTCCACAACCCGGTTCAAGATAGAGCTCACCAAGCGCCGCAAACGTGTCTCAACCTGCTGACGGCACAAGGCATTACCCTATCTCAGACACCTGAGGCAGTGAAGTACAGTACATTCGGACCATTCAGCCGCTGTAACGAGCCGTGACTGCAGTAGCCAGACCCACTGCTCGTCGTCCATTTGCGGGGAAGACACCATCACCCCGAAGCGGCAAGTGGACACTGCTCCCGCCCCGCCTGTCCGTGAACCAGCCGTTGACGTCAAGCTCGCAGGGCCCAGAGCCTCTGCCTGGGGAGATACCGTACTGTAATGATGGGCACATCTGCTTACACAGCCGCTCTACTCTTGACCGAAAGATCTTGTGAAACGGTATGGCGTAAGGACAGAGTGGCTTACTTGGTTCCAGACCAACACCCAACGCAACTATCGTGACCTCCATAAACAGACATTCCGCTCATTGTCAAGCGGCCGCTCAAAGTTGTTAATGGTGCGGCTCACGCGAGGTGACAGGGATGGTCGAGGTCGGCTTATCTCGTCTCTGCTAGGGTCTTTGTGGCTTTGAACCCCTAAGACATTCGATTCTGAGGACAAACGCAAGCAGCATTGATTCGATGCGGCCATTTTGA